GGTTGTTACCTGGACACTAACACTTAAAAAATAGATGAGGAAACTCTAAAAAAGTTACACAATTTGCAATTCAAGAGGAAAATTATAATGATAAACTAAGCACTTAGCATGTCTGTGTAATATTATACTTAGATTCGAGGGCTGACTGACAAATGATAAGCATAAAAAACACTTACCCAAACAAGAAAGTGTGTCACGCTGCAGTTCAAAGCCATCAGAGAAGCTATAAAATTCCTTTGTGCACATTTTTGAATTTTAAAAATATTGATGATTTATACATACATATTGAATCAAAATGGTCATCGAGAGAGCAACCAGTAAATATTTAATGGGTTTCTGAACATTAGGGCTATTATTTTTAACTTGTTTCCATTACAGATAAAAGGAATATTGAAAAAAAATTTTTTACAGTGCTGTTTTTTGCTGAAGACACCAAGTTTTTGAAGGCTCTGAACTCATAAATATTTGAAAGCTAATAGCAACCTTATAAATTATTTCATCCTGCCTCCTAATTTTACTAATGAGATCCAGGTAGAGAAGAGGTTAAGTGACTTTTTCCAGTTCACGCAGCTGGCTGGCGGCTTACTGGGACCAGCTTGCCCGCTTTTCAGCCTGCATTTGTACTGTTTTCACAAGCTCTTTCCACTTCTCCTCTAATGTAGTAGTGTTTTTTTTTCTCTGGCATACACAGAACTTTAAAACCTGAATTCTGAAGCAAACTAATAATGTATTTTACTTATGTTTTAAACGAGTCTGTCAGAAACATCACCTGGAGAAATGAGTATGTTTTAAGTTAGCTGTGCACCCCCCCCCCCGCCTTTAGTGAGTTATAATCGACAAATAAAATTGTACATATTTAAGGTGTAAGATGTAATGATTTGCTATACATTGTAAAATGATTGCCACAGTCAAGCTAATTAATACATTTGTCATCTCACATAGTTACCGTTTTTGGTTTTCGTAGTGAGAACACTAAAGATCTACTCTATTAGCAAATTTCAAGTATACCATAACAGTGTTATTAACTATAGTCACCATGCCGTACATTAGATTCCCCAGGATTTATTCAACTTACAACGTAAAGTTTGTGCCCTTGGACCAACATCTCCCCATTTCCGCCACCACCCAGTCTCTAGCAACCGCCATTTCACTCTCTGCGTCTATCAGTTTGACTTTTATTTAGATTCTGCTTTTCACTTGTGTGATTGTTTGCTTGCTCAAGTTTGGATTCTTGTATCTAGAATGACTACTTCTCTGATAGCTGGGAAATCCAAATGTCAGCTCCACTCCTCACAAGCACACCATCCGCAACGTTATCCAAAAGAATATATAATAACATAGAAGAATAAACACAGTGATTATAGACTAACAGAACAGAAAATCATAGTGACTCAGTCCCTTCCCCGAAGCTGTGACAGTTCTTGCAAGGAGATTATTCTTAGGAACAATTAGGATCCATAATGGTTTATCTCCAGCCCTTGGCCCTGCACTAAAATCTGTTCCCTTCTCCAAACTAGAATGTCCTCAAGGCATCATGACCCAGCATTGTCTTCTGAATATAGCTCTGATGCGCCTGTATTGCTTAAGTGATGATCTGTCTGACACACTCACACCGTTAAGCGATTTCCACCTGGTCTTATTACTGTTTGTGTCTGTTTCCCATGTTGGTAAAATCAACCTCTGTTTTCCATCCAGAAATTCAGTCCTTCAGTAAATTTTGGTTAAACACTTGGCATATTCCTGGCATCCTACAAGCTCTGGGGGTAATTTGGTGAGCGAGAGAGAGACAGTTTCTTTCCTTAAAGAGTATTTAGTCCATCAGGGAAGACATGCGACTAGATAACTAAAACTCAGCGCAATCCTGGGTCTGATCCAGAAATTATGGCGTATGATGAAAGCACATGGCAGAGACGCCCAGTGTAACTTCCAAAGGTGGTTACTTTTAAACTGGCTCTGGATGCTGAGTAGGAAGTTCACAGGCAAAATGGGCCAATTTCATTTTTACTGTTGCATTTGGTAATTCTTCCTTATTTGTTTTTCAACAAAATCATTCGTAAAAGAGTATTAAAAAACCTAGAAGATTTCTTTTGGAAACCTTGATTTTTACTCTTTTTCTCCAGAATTTATTTGCCACATCTAGATTTCTGTGCTTCCTGGAGCTGAGTCTTAATATGTTCATTAATTTGTGCTATGCCTGTGGTTTCCAAAGAAGAGTCACTGACCCGCTGTCATAGAATCACTGAGGGTGGTGTTTAAATATGGAGATTATAGGTAACGCCCCTGGTCCTACTGAAACATAACCTCTGAGAGTGTGAGGAGGAGGAAAGAGAACTAGAATTTGCGTGCTTAGACAAGTTCCCCTCACACACACTGCTGCCATCACTGAGTGTATATTCAGAATGTAACTAAAATCCTCTTCCCCAATTTTCTTCTAATTGCCTTGAAATGGAGTATGTCTGTCTTTTCAAGGAAAACCATCCCGACCTGTCCAAGTGCCAAAAATTCTCCTTGATTATTTCCCGTCATATCACCTAAGGCCCTATGTTGGTATATAAGCACTTCTTGGGACTGAAATGACGTGTGCCTAGGGCAATCACCGGTGATCGTGGCCCTCTTACTGGGTAGAAATAGGAATTAGAAAGGTCAGTTTTCAAAATTCCTGCTTAGCCTATGTGGAGTTGTATATTTTTATCTAGAGAAGCAAAATCACAGTTACTGTAAGTGACTAGCCTCTGGCCAATTCAGAAAATTGGGGCAAAGTTTATCAAAGTACTCCAGAGTTTTTGACCGTAGATCCAATGTTCTACGAGCTACACCATTTTGGCACCAAAGTATCTTGCATAAAACTGTTGCTATTAGTTAGGATAAGAGCAGCCTGCTGCAAAAAAAAGACTCTCAAGGAGTATTCAGTGGCTTGAAGAAGGTTTAAGTTTATTTCTCTCACATGTTAACCGTCCAACATTAACTGGTGGTCCAAGTTGGACGGTGTGGCTCTGCTCCACACAGTTTTTAAGTGACTACGTTTTCTTTCATTGTGTCTCCTCCATTCTCTAGGGCATTCTCCCTGTCTGCATGGTAAACCAGGTTTCTGTGGTTTTCCAGCCAGGGAAATGGAACGGGAAAGGGAATGAGAATGTGAGGGGAGCCCAATAAATGCATACATAATTTCCATTCATAATCCAGTAGTGAAAACCTTGTTCTGTGGTCACACGTAACTGAGGATGGGACTCGTGAACATAATCTCTGACGGAGTGGCTCTAAGTCCAGGTCCAAATATATGAATAGGGAAAAAGGAAAAAAACAGGTATCGGTGCACAGCTAGCATCCCCATAACTGTATTTAGAAATGCAAACAGAAGTAGTACTGCTTTTGCCATAAAAGAGATTGTTGACCCTGACAAAAATGTATTTTTTGCATGAGCATAAGGCTTTATTAGGTTCGTGAGAAATGAGACATGTTCTTATTTTTTTGAAAATAAATCTGTATCGTTTTTCTATTGCTACTTAAAAACCCCGCCCCTCTCAACTTAACAGCTTAAAACAGGGATCAGCAATTTCTTTTTTTTTTTCTGTGAAAGAGGAGACAGTAAATATTTCAGACTTTGCAGCCAATACGGTCTCTGCTGCCAACTGTTCAACTATCCCACTGTAGTGTTAAGCGACCTTAGACAGCGCATGAAAAATGAGTGTGCTCGTGTTCCAATGAAACTTTATTTTCAAAAACACGTGGTGTGCTTCCTTTGGCCCATGGACTGCAGATTGGCTGACCCCTCGATTCAAACAACTATTCTATTTTTGGCTTATGGTTCTGTGGGATGATAAATTGGTTGCCCAGTTGGTAGACAGGTCTTCTAAGTCTGAATAATCTCGAATGGCCTCTCTCATGTGTCTGGTGTTCAGCAGCTTGGTTGGTCTAGGGGCCTTTAGCTAGTGTGACTCATCTGCACCCCACGCGGCCTCTCATCCTCCAGGAGGCTAGCCCAAGCTTATTCACATGTCAGTCTCAGGGCAGCAATGATAGCAAGCCCAGTGGTGCAAGTGTTTGTCAATCCTCTGCTTTCATCATGTTTGCTGCTGTCTTACTGGCCCAAGCAAGCCACTTGACAAAGCCAGGATGGAAGAAATAGAGAAACGTTACCTCTTGATGAGAGGAACAGTAAAGTCACAACGCAGAGCTGTGTGCCGACAGAGATAGGAGGGGCTCTTTTAGCCATCCTTGTCGACGATCTACTACAAAGTCTTTGAAGTACTAAAGGACATTAAAATTCAACTTGATATTTTTAACAGCAAAACTGTCTTCATACTTTGTGAACTATAGGGGAAAGTGTGTATGTATAACTTTTCTTAAAATATTATGAAGGATTATGTTCCAAGACCAGAGAAATGAACCAAGGATCTTAGGAATAAATCCATATTGAAGATTACCCAGATGAGAGAGTTGTGAGGTAGGAGACTAGCCAGTTATCTCTAAACAGTTTAATCTTTTCCTGAATTCCTCATTTCCTGCTGTGCCTACCTTTAAAGTCTCAAGGCATACACACTGCCTGTCATCTCGATAGACATAGTGGCCTCTGGCTCAGAATTTTCTGTTTGAGCTTTCCAAACAGTGGGGTCTATAGCCAGCGTCAGTCCTTGTACTAACTTATCAAGAAGTTTTGAAGAACTAAAGCTATGGATTTAATCCAGTTTAGGGATCTGGGGTTAAAATCCCAAAGGATGCCCTTGAGCTTCTATATGAGTCACTGTAGGAAACAGAAGTTTTTTTAAATTAATCATACAGAAGAAATTTACTGTGCAAGCGTTAACAATTGTCTTCTTTACAAAATCTAGTAACATATAGGAGAAATCATTTCATCTGCAAAGCCAGTAAAATAATTTTTGCAAATCCCCCTCTCCTGGAATTCTGATAAACTAAATGCAGTGTGTTCCAGTGTGTTAGGAAAGCAAGACGGTTCGATGTTTTGTGGAACAGGCTGACTTAAATTACTAGACTGCTATTATTATTGATGTTTAGTCCTAAACACTAGGTACCAGGAATCATGTGAAGTATATTGTTCATTGAAAGGTCTGCAGAATATTATGAGGACCTGTCGTACTATTTTTTCTTTTCAGGTGAAAAAAAAAAACCTAAAGCTCAGAAAGATGAGGGAATTTGCCCAACGTCCCAGGGGGTGCTGGTAAGTTGGCACATGGGGGAAAAAAGCCCTAATTTATAGTGTTTGCCAGTATTTGTGATGTAACTAGTCTCCACTGGCTGATTTCCAACTACCAGTGTGATGTCAGCGAACGTGACGTTGAGAAGAGATGCACATAGTCAGCGATCATGAACCAGTAGGAGGCGGCTCTGGTACACCATTGCCAAGGTCAGAAACATAATAGGAAGTCGGAGAGCCAGGATTTGAGCTGGTTGTCTACAAAGTACATCCTCTAAGCCGTCATAATAGAAATGCTTTCTGATACAATAAACTATTAACTGACAGATTACAAACAATCATGAATGTCCACAACATCTTTAATCCCAGAAACATAGATGTTTCTTTATTCTGTTTTGGACTAATATAGGAAATATTCTCTCAGAATTATTCAATAATCATGTGTTAGAGGCCAAGAAAAACTGTCTGCTTCTTCCCTCCCCATTTCCATTATTCTTTCCTTTCCATTATCTTAAATTTTCACAAATTTTGCTAGTGTTGCTTCTTATTCGTATTCATTGCCACTTTTCATCTTAATATCCTTATGCTTGGCCCCCAACAAACTATTTTGCTGTTTCAGCCTATTGACTGCATTTTTTCCCTTTGTATAGTTTATTAATTTTTTTCTTACCTTATGGCATAAATTTTATACTTCTGCTCTTAAGTTTTTCAATATTCTGGCATTCCTTGTTTGAGCGAGTAGGTAGTTGAATAGAAGCCCAATTACTAACATAAGATGTGTTCACATTTTAGGAATTATTTAACCATTTTTCATACCAGGCTATCCTCATCTGTGAGTGGGGATAAAAATAGTACTTACCTTGCGATGTATGAGTGGTTGATCAATTAAAAAACAAACAAGCCAGGAACTGTAGGAAGAACAAATATGGAGGGTCCCTGAGATGGGGGTACAGATGGTGCCTTGAGAATGGGTGAGATCCAACATTATTTTGTGCTGATGAATAACATCATTTGATGTTTCACGGGAACACATCTCAAAGATTCGTAAACAGTAGAACTTTTGAAAGTGATAGCATTTTTTTCACAACAAAAATAAATTTTACTTGCTTACTTCATGTAACAGATTTTATACTAAGAATTTTCACCCTTTGTTAAAATAATTAAGGTATTCGTGAAAACCATTTACCATTACCATGGATGGAAAGAATGACAACTGAGTAAACTTTTCTCCCCCAAATATTTTCATAGGTGTTAAGCTATAAGAAAAATAAAGAAAACGCTTCTGCAACTGGTATGAATTTGTACCTGATCGGTAAGGGGAAATTTATGAAAGCGTACCTCTAATGTTAGCTCAGTGCATGTTTACACTATGCCAGAGCCAAGGAGAATCTTAGCTCTCATCAGCACTGTCATAATTTCTTCAAGTGGCTGAATTGAAGTGGATGCCCAGCAAAAATTTTTTTTCATATACTTCTGTAGAAAAATAAAAGTAAAAATTAATGTGACTTTTCTTTTTATAAAATGAGCCCCATTATATATTTTCTTCCCACATAAAGACAGAATATGTGCTGCAAAAGAGCTAACTTAAAAGGAATAATTTTCACTGTCAAGTAATAAAACAGAAAACTTACCTTCTGTTTGACGTATTATTCTTGTGACTCTGGCAAAATTCAGTGATACCATGATTTTCTTGACATTTCTTGAAATCACTATTAATTATGTAGCATATCCTAGAGTTTTGAAGAGTTGTACCAAATGGTGAATAAGAATGTTTTCTTTTTTTTTTTGACCTGATGTGTTTTCTAATACATCCAGGCAAATGAAAATAAATAGATAGGAAACAGAGCTAATTTAGAGAATTGAAGTTCAAATGAAATAAAAGCGGCAATAGAACCACACTGAACCCTGAATCAGGAAATGAAGCCATGAGTGAATCTGATGTTAAGTAGTGGTTAATTACAGTTAAACTTCAAATATAACTTGTAAGTTATGGATCAGAACATTCAATGGAACATGTAACAAAGTTTATGTATTATATCTTTTAATTTCCTTTTCCTTCCTCCACTTCTAATCTAACATTGCTGTTATACTGTAGAAAAGCAAGTTTCGTATGAACAATAGAAGATAGTTTAAGGCTGCAGTAATGGCAGGGGCTAGAAGGGAATTCTGGGCAGAAAAATCTACTTAAAGTTTAACCAATATCCTAATAAATTGAAAGTACTGATGAGGGCATAAATGCTGCATCAACATAAAGAAAATAAATCTATTGAACATAGGACCTCTGTTCTTTCCAAAGCCAAATGATTCTCTTCCCTATTCCAAATGGCTCTACTTGTTAAATTTCATTGCTTAGCAGACAGAATGTGCAACTTGGCAATAATATAGTCATATTGGCATTATTCCTCCTATAATTAAGTAACTTGAATTTTCCCTCCATATAGCATACTATGCTACAGACTTACATGTTGTTTCTCTTCAAATTTTGGTATTACCATAAGGTGTGAGCTTCACTTATTAAAACATGACAGTTGAGAGTTTTAACTTTATTTTGTTCAGGGGAAAATATGGGAGGGTCAGTTTTTGCATTAAACATTGAACTGTAATAAATCTCATTTTTCTCATAATTATGGGTTTGATTTTTATTGACTAGTAAAATAACATGACCTTTAAAACATTTGTGACAATTTTTATGTAGTAAAAGTGTATCACTGATGAATATTGAATTCAAACATACTTCAGTTTAAACAGATTGTTAAGCGGAAGTAGTGAGAAAGCTAAATAAATAATAAGTAAATTAAACAGGAGTCAGGATTCGTCACAGAGTGAAAATGAAAGCTCTAATAATGACAAGGTTGTGAACAAAACATTTAAAGAAAACGCAAGACATAACTTGGATTTCTAAATTTCTATTTCCTCATAGCTTTTCTGAGGATTATGAAATCTAGCCTAATGGAATAATAATAAGCATGCTGAACGTACAAAGGATGCCACCAAAATTATCTTGCAACATAAACATAGGTTTTGTAGGTCCTTAATATACTCGCTATATTGTCAAGATGTTATATCTAACAGTTTTTATCCTTAAATGTAGATAACTAATTCCTCAAACCTTTATATCTGTATATAAACAAGCCATCTGATTACTAGATTTTGCTTTTTGTCTTGAATGGTTTATTTTCATATTAATTCTAACTTCTAGAGAACAGTCGAGAATGTTCGAATTGACCGTTTCTGTGGAGTGCATGGTTTGTCACGAGCAATATAAATAAATACGTTAATTGCCTATCATACTTTTATCTGACAGATGGGTCCCCAGGCACAGAGCCTAACCTTTTATTTTGACACCTGCCACATTTCGCCAGCCCTGACCCTTTTTCTTTGCCAGAGTGTCGCTGTGCTGTTCACCATGGTTGCACTAATCTCCAGCTTTTAAAAGGCATAATATTGGAACCCTTCTGAGAATCGTTGCTGTCAATCAGCTGATACTACAACATAAAGTATTTCACAGATCCATCCAACATCCCTTCTTTCCTGTGATTCGGACACATTTTCTCTTATTTCTGTGTCCTACTGGCTCAATAAGATTACATGGAGCTTGTTTAATCTAATACCCCATATTGTTACCTTCTGACATAAACCATTGAATTTAGCAGTAATTTACAATTTAGAATTTATTGGAGAATAATAAAAGAAGTTATGTTTCCGTTTTTATGCTAAAAGATACTTTTTTAAAATTACAAAGCAAATATGCTATTTTAATGTAGCAAAGGAGTTAAGAATAATCTGAACATATTAATGTGAAAAAATAAAAAGAAGCGTCAGGGCCATAAAACATGTTTTGAGAATCACTGTGCGCTCAATCTCAAAACAGCACCTTTGATTTCTGGGGTGATTCCAAAAGCCACTAACACAGGATATGTGTCTGGATTCATACAAACTAAAAGCACATGCCTGGTCCATTAGACAGAGGTCTGGTTCTAGAGAGCTCTGCAAACAGGTAAGCTGTGGAAGCTCATCCATCACTAAAATAGTTCATATACATTTTAAGAGAAAAATCAGGTTAACTCTAATAAACTATGAAAAATATCCTAAGCGATCTTTTAGGAGGAATATATTAGAAACAAAGACATTAAAAAGTAGACATGTAGATAGGAGGTAGACGTTTGGTAGCAAACAGAGTTCCACCAAATCAACCCTTGGTTTACAATCTCACTGCAGACTGAAAGCCAGTTAGAGACGTGTACACTAACAACTGTCTTTCAAATATGGCATCTGTCGTTTCTGAAATGAGCTTACTTGGAACAGTGGGAAGAGCCTTGGACTGTGTCTTAGGCAAGCTAAGTTTCTTTTGTAATTCAGACCCATTTATGCCAACTAGGATACATACGTACATTACAAGAAGTATGGGATCTGTGTCTTAGGGACGTTCAAAGAAAATGATGTTCCATGCCTGGGACTTAGAGATATTAGAGTTAAAAGTCCATTCTAGAGTTACAGCAGCTTTTTGTACCTGAGCATCAAAAGGTTTTGAATCTTTAGTGAGCCACTTTTAATATGACTCAGCTGTATTTCACTTCCTCCTCTTTCTTCTCTGCCCCAGTCCAACTCTCATAGCTTACTCAGAGTTTCTGCTAGCTCATATTTTAGGCATGTATGAAACTTTGTGCTGTCATAGAAAATCCTCTTTTCATTTATTAGATCTATGTTGAGAGACAAAAAACAAAACAAAACAAAACAAAACAAAAAAATCCCAAAACCGAAAAAACTGATGGTCCCAGCTCTTTTCAAGCCTGGCTGCCGTTCAGAGATTTCTGGCCAGCCTATCCTTTGGTCCCTGTCCAGTCAGCTGTAAATGGTGGGAAGCAGAGGTCAGTTGTGAGTAAACATCACCACTTAGGTGGCAGATGTTCTGGATGAGGATGATTCTCTTAGAAGGGATATGTCCTGACTGACACAGACAGTACTCAAAGTGTGGTCCAGAGACTGGAGCTGGTCCATGTGCTGTTTGTTAACCATCCAAAATG